TTGTTTTTATTTATTCGAAATATGATGGTCAGGTGTTGATTGGTGTGTGTATTTTTCCATACACTCATTTATTACTTTTCAGGATTTACGTTCGATTGGCACAAACTACTCGTCGCTGATTGGCGAACGTGCTGAAAATCGGCTGAAGAACAGATACACAAATATACTTCCGTGTAAGTATTAACTTTTCAATGCATTCTCGTGACAGCATATACCCACTGTCACGCCGCTTGACACATAGATACGACTTAGCTCAGCTCATATGATGTCACTCAACTTTGAATATATTTACTCTTCCATCAGATGATCACACAAGAGTTAAGCTGATAGAAATGAACGAAGATGACGAGGAAGACATTGGATCAAGCTACATTAACGCAAATTATATTTCAGTACGTATGTGAACACGTGTAATTATGACCACACCAATTGTTAGGGTGATATGGAAAACCGTTAATACAGTCATAGAAAAGTATCGTTAACACCCTGTGGCAGTCTGAAAATGTTTCGTTATTTTTTAAACGTTCAACGAAATCAATTATCAACTTAATTTTCATATCAAGGTTTTACATTGCTGTTTTACTCGCCCAATTCAGAACACTAGACACTCTCGGATTTGCGCTGGTGAAAAAAAAATTGCCCTCTTCGTGTTTTGGACTATTTTTGTTAAGGACGTTGTTTCTAAAACTTTTCTTTGTTGGTGAATTATTCACATCGGCATTAAACAACTTTGCATGGATTGTAACAAAGACTTATATCGAAAGAAAAATATAAACTACGTATGCTGATAATAAGAACGCATCACTAGTGTATGTAATGTTTGTATGCTATCACACATAGGGATATACCTCACCAAGAGAGTACATAGCAACCCAAGGGCCTCTACCGACAACAAAAGACGATTTCTGGAGAATGGTTTGGGAACAGAATACGCAGACTATAGTTATGATTACCCGGTGTGTTGAGAAAGGAAAGGTGAGGAGACAGCATGAATAATACCTTTCGTCGTAGTTGATATCTTTGTTGGTATTCAAAATGCACTGTAATTTATGTATACGTGTGAATTTGTATTTTTATAACAAATAATGAACATGATTAGGTATATATCTGCAGGTGAGATGTGATCATTATTGGCCATTTGATTCCGATCCGACTGAATATGGGGACATTACGGTTACCATGGCTTCAGAATCTGTTTTACCAGAATGGACTGTACGAGATTTTACTCTAGAGCTGGTGAGAAATTTCAATATGCATATTAACGGATGTGATACAATATCGACTTAAGTGATGACAATACAATCGAATGGCCCAATTAATAGGGTATATTAAGTAGGAAAAACGCAACAATCAATATACTAAAATAATAAGTGTTGGTGTATGTATTCACAGAAACGTGAAGTAAGGTCACTTCGACACTTCCAGTTTCACTGCCTGGCCTGATCACGGCCCTAGGTAGACAGATTTATTGCTCAGATTCGTTCGTACTGTGCGTGGTCAGATACCGAGAAATGCTG